GGGGCGCCCAGGGCGTCGGGCTGCCTACCCACGACCACGCAGGCGGGCCGGCGCCTGCCGAGGGCCGGGTAGGCAGACCCGCGGGGCGCCCAGGGTGTCGGGCTGCCTACCCACGACCGCGCAGGGTGTCCGGTGTGCGCCGCCAGCAGGGGCAGACCCTAGGGGGAATTTCAATATCTTGTAGCGTACGAGTTATAGGTCTGTTCTTAATAACAAAAAGAATACCTTGATTTTTTTTTTGATTTTTTGGCGTTTTAATAGATTTTACCTTGATTTGTTTGTAGTTTTCTTCCCTGATTTCTCTAGGAGCGTGATCTCTGATTTTTTTAAATGATGCAACTCTCTAGGGAGACTAGCCAGTAGCCGGACAGCCGTGCCTTGTTGGTGAGCCTTTCGGCCTCGGACGACCACGGCCATGGGGGGGCCCCCCTGCCAGATCAAGGGTACGCAACACACTGTCGTCGGCGCTTTGCGGGCCTCCACCCCATGGGGCACAACGCCGCCGACTTTGCCACTCGAGCTGGAGCCCAGAGAACACGGTTTGGGCAAAATGACGGCAAATGATGTCAGTGACAATATTTGGCCATTTGGCGTCCAGCTTTGATGTCATTATGAACATTATAAAATGTCATTTGATGCCAAATTCACAACAAATCTTTACACTGACGTCCCTTGATGTTGTTTTGAAAAAAACCGTGTTCTCTGGGAGATTATTCTCGGCCAGCCGAAACAAAACAAAAAGGAAACCGAACGGAAATAAAAAAAAGAAAGGTCCCACCGAGATTTGAACTCGGATCGCAGGATTCAGAGTCCTGAGTGCTAACCATTACACCATGGGGCCGGTCTTCCCACAATGGGTGGTGCGTAGGCGGGGCACGGCGCCGCGGCTGGCCCGTGCGCAGCCCGACGCGCATGCGCGAGAGAGGAGAGCCGAACCGCTGGAGGGGGCGTGGCGGAGGGCGGGGCGGGGCGCGGAGCGGTGCGTGGCGGTTCACTCCGGGTGCGGATGCACCGGCAGCGGTGGTGCGGCCCGCCCCCCTGGAGAGTGCGGCAGCCCTGCGGTGCCCTGCGGCCGGGGCTGAGCCTTGCCCAAGACGGGCCTAGGCCGGCATTCACTTTATTGATTCAGTCCGGCGGCCCCCGGCCGCCCCCGGATAGCCCCCCGGCGGCGACCCCACACCCGCGGGGGCGGCCCCTCCCCGCCCTCTCTCCCCTCGGTGCAGCACTTGTCCGTCAGGGGCAGCAGCGGGGCGCCACGGGGCACCGCGGGCCGCTGACCCGCGGCCCCACTTGCTCCCTCCAGGCCGCTCCAGGAAGCGATCGCAGAGATGCTGGAGCGGGCCTGTATGTATCGCATGGGCCCCACCTCGGTGACCTCGACGGCCCCGTAGCGCGCCCGCCCCGCCCCGCCACTCACATGCCGCACTCGGACTGGAACCATGCCCGTGCTGTGCAGAGTGCGTTGCCCGCGAGCCGGACTTTTGGGAGTTGAGGAAATGGATCAGGATGTATATGCAGGACCAATAGGACGGACGGCGTGTGGCGGCAGGACACCGCCTAGCTCGGCTGTGCGAGCGAAATAGACGGACACATAGGCCTTTCCAACAGTGATCCGTCTCAAAGCGTTGGAATAATTACGCATTCGTGGTGAAAAGTGTCGTCTTGGGGTCCAGAAACACTTTTTTCGGGACGTAAGGGTGATGTGATGAATTTTCGCCATTCTGACGTTTTGTGACAAATCTCTGAATGTAAAGGAGGCGGTAGGCGGAAAGAAGGGGGGGGGGGTCTGTCAGAAATGGCAGAGGGGGGGATAAGCACAACCCTTCTCGCCGCGACACACCATCAAGACGTTGTGATGACTTGGTCACGATTTTTATGTTGACCTCTTCCACCTCTTCAGCCACACACTCAAAACACCCACGATAATTTTCCATTCTACTTTCCCAGATGAGAGGAGATGCACAACCCCGTCATAAAGTCCGATTGTTTCGATGGAAAGATGTCATCTAATAGTTATACTACTTGACATCTTATCTCGAAATAGACTCACAAGAGCGAATAACCAGCCTAGACCAGAAGTGGCTGTCAAAACAATGTCAAAAAAAAATATATTGATACCGAAATGACAAGATGCTTGTTGCCACCGGACGTCGTTGTTCGCTCGCCGGATGTCACCGTCACACTTATTGTCACACTATACTTCTACTCACCGGCTCGTCACGGTCCGCCGGTGGCGGTCACGACAAGTGCAACAAGTGCGGCGCGCGCCGCCACGGTGCTGGCGGAGCAGGTGAAGCTCGTGGTGGTGACGGTGGTGACGGTAGTGACCGGACCACAAGCGCACAGCATCTGATCTGCACTGGGCTGTGAGGTGAGATCTCGACTCCCCGGTCTTGGGCCGGCAAGCCTTGCCTATCCCTCCCCCTTTACTCCTTCCTTGTTGCCCCTCCCCCCTCTTCCCCCTCGCGACGCAACGCCAAGGTGACGACGGGACGGGGGGTGAGAGTGGGAGAGGAGAGGTCAGTGACAGGCCGTCCTGCTCTTGGCCTGCCGTCTGGTCTCACTCACGGAGGTGCGCCTCCGACTGCTGCGCCTGCTGCTAGGCGGGGCGCCCCGGGGAGACGGACGCTGCACCGGGGAAACGACCCATACCCCCCCCCCCCCAACAAAAAAAAAAACAAAAACAACTAAAACAAACAAACAATAATGCAATTTTGGGTCTTGCAGAAATTTTTGAGATTTTCAGCAACCGTTCTTGTATGCCTTTATGTTGTAGACCTCGCCAGCTTTTGAAGAGTCGCATAGAATGCACGATCGGGTTATAAAGGGTCGCAGAGGGTTAAAAAAAAAAAAATGCGCTCAAAGATAAAGGTAAAGAGGAGATCTATTAAATGTTTCAATAAGAAAGTAGAAATACAGCCACTCCAACAACTCTAAAGAATTATTACTGACATTCCAGTAGTACAAGTAGAGGTGTAATACTGAGCATTATGTAAGAATCAAGAAGTTCTACAAATAACAAGTAATATCCACTGTAATATCCCAGATGTGCTGCTAAGCTACCACCATACATTAGAAACAATACTATAGTCAAATACTATAGTAAGTACTTGAAATAACTTCATAACGTGTGAGTTTTACATTAAAACTATACTAGAAAATAGAAAACTTGCTTAAAAATGTAATAAATGAAGAGATGAATGTCTTTTGAACACATTGCTAAATTTGAAACTATTGTTGTTCATCAGCTTCACAAAGCATCTTCATTCTAAAGTATGGCTAAGAGTCCAGTCTGCTTCCATATCATGGAAAATTCCAATGAAAGCAATGGTTTAAAAGTTGCAGAACAAAGTATTTAACAGAACACATTCACACATTTGTACTTTGACCAAGAATGGGCATTTAAATTTAAAAGCACAAAATCATCTTACAAAATTTAAATTTTCTATCACAACTCAAATGGCACATTTAAAATGCATACACAACAACTCATCATAAAATATAATAGATAGATTATAAAAACAATAACAGCTTATCACAAAGATATTCTTCTTTCCATTTTGAGACAGAGAGCAACAAACATGGACACGGATCTGGCATGATTTCCAGGCAGAATAGTTTTTGTTAAACACAGGACACATAAAACGCCTGGGGAGCTGAAACCCCCAGTGAGCTTTTGTGCACCACTTCATGCATAATTTGTGTATAAGGAATACTATTTTCTAAACATGGCCATAGCTGTCAATGAGTGCTTCTCCAAAATGGGTAACAACATAGTCGTGATAGTACATCATGATACAGAGAGGTTGGCCAAGAATCAAAGACGCCCAGACAGTCATATTACCCCATCTTGGACCGAGCCGCTTCTCCACCCAACGAGACATAAGTGACAGTGGTACCTGAAAATTTTTATATTTCAATAAAAAACACTACTTAAGTTATAATGAAAGTATTCAATAGCTGAAGTCCATACCTGTCCCATCATTCCCATGAATGCCCATGTCTTGAAGGTGCGCAGAGGAACACTGACAAGGTACTCATGGAAAAATGCACTGATAAAGAACACAGACGTAGTCGCAATAACACGTGTGTATCCAGCCTCAATTAGAGGAATGTACAGATGTCTAAAGAAGGGGTAAAGATTCATAATTATACATGTCTTCAAAAATTGCATCAGAAATACAGGGTGGCCGCTCTGCCCCACAGTTTTAAAAAGGAAGACTAGCCCACCTGCACCGTCCCCACCCACTTCCCCACTCCGTCTGCAAGCGGTAGTCTACCTTTTCAAACCTACGGGGCAGAGCGGCCACCCTGTATAATTCGAGTAAGAATAGTTTAGATACTTACCTCACAGCCCAACGATGGACTGGCATGTTCCAACTGCGCCAGAAAGTGTCGATATTGTTTGAGTTCCACCAGTCTAAGTAAAAGTTGCGATCGGCAAAATGCAGAAGTTCTCCAAGAAGATTGAGCCATGCATGGAAGGTCAGGTAGAAGAAACAAAGCCACACCAAATGATTTGGGATCTGCAACATAAATATTTCTTAGTTAAATAGGAAGATATTTCCAAAAATATGCAAATATGTTTGAGATCCAGATATTTACTGCAAGTTTTAATAATCGTTCCACTGCCTTGGCAAGGTCCATATTCTGGAAAACAAATCTTTTTTTTAATCATCAGGCTTCAATTAAATACAACTATGCTGTTTAAAGAGAACGTTCACTTACAGAAAAAGGAATAAGGGAATTTTTAACAGAGGGTATAATCCACTGTTGAAACAGACTCATCATAACTTGAATACCAATCACAACTTCAAGCAGTCTCTTAATCAAAAATCTAAGAAAAAACATGCACTTTAGATACATTGGCTATAAAAAAATAACTTCATGGGAAAAAAACAAAACAACTACCAGTACTTAGACAAAAGAGTTATAAGTAGAATCTTCCTTACAACAGTAGGAGACTAAGGGACCTACATCAAACTGACAAAGCACAAAATGTAAAGTCATCTTAACTCACCTTTTCCTGATACGAGTGGTTCGGGGGAAGTTCAATTCATAGCAAAGAGTTGGGGCCAAAATAAAATAGTAAAGGTCACGTAAACTGAGATTATCTGGGTATTGCACAGGTTTTGTGGATCCAAGCTCTGATTCTTTCTTTGAACTTTTGTCTCCAACACCATTTTGACCTTTTCCTTGATTACCTTGAATAGCTGCACAAAAAAAGAAACCAAGAAAACATTTTCATCACAATAAATTAAAAATCCTCAAGTATTGAAATATTGTCAATTATGCACCTAGTTTGCCCACTGATATAGACTGTCGTCTCTGATGAGCTTTGCTTGCAGTCAGCAGTCGAGAATTACGGCACCACATATTGACTTGAACATATGACCAAAGTTTAAGAAACAAGACACTATAGAGCATACATATGGATGAGGCAGCAACTGAAAAAAGAGACATACAGATAATTAAATTGTTTAGTTTAATATAAGTAATTAACTTTGACCTTCAATACTTACTGAGGCTGAAGGCTTTTGTCTTGGTATGAACAACAACCATTGGTAGCAATATGTGGATGAGTAGATTAACAACATGAGTGGTAAGACCAAATTTTGATGTGAGGATACCCTACAAATATAAAACATTAAATGTTAAGTTTTTGTAGTAAAAAAAAATAAGATAACGCTACAGAGTAATTATATGCTTACAGCAGCAAGACCTTTTTCTACCAGTAAACAAATTACTACTGGTACAATGGAATCTGAAACAGGATTTAATTATGTGTCAAAAACAAATTAGGACAGAAATAAGTTTCTTACAAATATATTAGGACTTACAAAGAATCATAAGAATTGTATCATTTTCTGGACCTCCATCTCCAGTGACTAGTTCCAACCACTGTTTTGGGTTGACTCGAATTCCATACCTTACAAACAATGCACAAAATGACTCGGAGATCTTGTCATACCTCCATTAAACAGACATAAATAAAGAGAATAAACTTACTTAATGAAATTTTCAAGGAGCAAGCGCATGCTACCCATGAAAAGGAGGAGAAATCCCCAATTGACAAGCCCAGCAAAGTTGTCGAAGCCTGAGGACCATGAAAACAGAGAGTCCCTTGGACGGTGACATCTGCAACATTAAATCAAAACCAATACTCGTTAACATCATGGACTAGCAGGTGTTTTCCAGGTGTCCAAAGAGCCCAGCTCTAAGGTCCCGCACTACAAGAAAGCTGCCCCCAGGCCCCCTTGCTAAACGCTCCTAACCTCGCCGGGCACAGGTAAACATCGGGGGCCACTGCAGGCGGGCGAAAAGGACACCACTTACGGCCGATCCGGCTGGTTCTTGCGGACTTTGGTCTCCTGCTCGAGGTACTGCTCGACCTGCGTGAAGCTTTTGGCTCGCCGCAGACGGACGCGCACGTCCTCCGAAGTGTCGGCCGTCATGGCTGTGGGGGCGGCCGGGGGCTGACTGACTGGACTGACTGACTGCTGACTGGCGGCAGCGGCAGCTTTGGTGCTGCTGCTCCGGGCGGCTCGCTCGAGGGGCAGTAGCGGCAAGAGAGGCTGACGAGGAGGGCGAGTCCCTCGGGGGCGACCCGCACCGGCCGATGATAAAAGTGTTCCACGCGGGCTCAGCTGACGAAGCTGGCCGCGACTGGCGCGTTGAATGGGTTGCGGCGGTGGCCGACGAGGAGGAGGAGCAGCTGCATCGGCCGGCCAGGGAGGAAAGCGGGAGCGGGGGAGGGGGGCGGGCTGGAGGAAAGAAGAGTTCGTCCAGCGGGGGGCGGGGAAGGAGTAGGAGGGTACCGTCGCACGTCACAACGGTGACGAAGTGACGAACCTAGAAACCTCAAGCCACCTCAAGCTCACCATACACCACGCACAGTAGTGCGGCTCGGTGTTGGCTACATGGGCGAGGGGAGGGGAGGGGGAATTCCCACTACTGCCCCTCCCCTTAGCCCCGTTTGGTCTATTTGTGAAAGTGGTCGTCCCGGTCGTCCCCTCCACTGCCATTCGCGTCCACAGCAGGTCTTTAGCGTCCACCTAAAGTCCTTGGAGGACTCGGCGTCCACCAGGGCTGCCTTGCCTGCTGCCTGCCGGCGGGTCTACTGCTGCCAGGCCGCCGGACCGGATTGTATTCCTAGTTTGCGCGCACAGGATCCCGATGACTGAGGACCGGGGGAAGAAGGGGAAGGGGTAGCATGCGTTGCAGACTGGCCTTGCGCCCCTTCTTTTTCCGGTTTTCGGCAGTTTGTTGGGGGGGGGGGGGGCACGGATGGATCCCCCACCCCCGAGCAGACGCACCCTTCCCTGGCGTCGGATTCAGGAGAGCGTTCGAGAGGGACACTCCTATACCTGCCCCATGCATGAGTGCAACAAGGACGGAGCTTTACGGGAAGTACCTGTGCCCTGCCAGTTACTTCTGAAATCGTCCCGAACCAGACAGAACGAGTGTGAGAGGGTGGTGGGAGGGGTGGTAGAGACGTTTGCGAAGGCGCAACTCCCATAAGGCTACGCCAACTGCCCAACCCTTAGGAGGGAGGGGACGGTGGGGGGAGGGAGAGGAGGAAGGGAACGAGGGGGTTGCAACTGCACGCGATGACACACATATTGTTATACGGAGACGCGTAAGAAGTTGATTGCGCGTGGGGGATCAACCAACAATCAACAAAAAAGCGAGGTGGGGAGGGGGAGGGGGGGGGCGAGGGCAAAGGACTTGAGAAGAAACGCCGCCGTCTGCATCTGGTTAGCGACGGGCCTGACTCATGGACGCGATACTACTTCGGGCGGCCAACGAACGACCCCGCTGCCCCCAGTGGCGGCGACGTGGTGGTGAGCAGGAGCCGCCCCGCCCCGCCTCCGTCCGGGGCCCCCACGTCGCGGCCACGACGCCGGCCACGCACCGCGCCGCCGCGGCGACAGAAATGTGGAGAACGCCGGGGAGTGAAGTCTGACCCCCCGGGAACACCGCGTGGCCAGCAGGGAGCAAAGGCCATCGCCAAGCCCAGCACGGCGGCCCGCCAACGCGATGTCAAGTGCCTGCTCCGTCGACATACCTGGGCCGCCCTGGGGCCGGCTGTCAAGAACCTGGTCGTTGTAGTAATTTGATCACGTGCTCCGCGGAGCGCCAGTATCGTTATCTGTGCTGTGGGCGCCACCCGCCCCGCCCCGCCACGGCACAGACTGTGCGGAGCTGTGTGTCCGCCTCTGCTTCCTGGTTCCACCACGGCGCCGCCGCCCCGCGGGTAGGCCACCCAACGTGCGCGGCGCAACGGCGGGAGGACGTGTGACGGGCACGGCGTCGTTGTTGTGACGGCGCCCGGCACCGCACTGACGGGAGGACGTGTGACGGGGGCACGGCGTGTCGTTGTTGTGACGATGCTCGGCGCCGCACTGACGGCGGGAGGACGTGTGACGGCGGGAGGACGTGTGACGGGCACGACGGCGTCGTTGCTGTGACGATGCTCGGCATCGCACCTGCGCGGCGCCACTTACATGTTCGCGGGTCAACACATAATCGCGACGACGCCGTTTTCTTTTTGGGTGGAAGAGCCCCCCCCCGGCCCCCCCCCCCCCCCCCACCTGTGAACTCGTTACACCTCCGTGTTTGGAAAGCCGAGCTGAGAGGGAGCGAGAGAGACGG